TTGATATTCTTTATTTCAGTGATGGCGCCAGCCTTCGTTGCCTTTTGGTGTCCACACTTTTAAAGCCTCAGTGTGAACATTTCATTCAGTAAATAAAGAAAAATGAGACTCACACATTAAATAAAGCCAGAAAACATCTACCTGCATCCCAGACAGATGAATGAACTGTGACTGTCTCCTCAGCAGGGATGGACCCACCAACAACAGGCAGGGTGGATAACCAGAGTGACACCGAGGCCATGGAGTACAACCTCAGCACTCCAGCGCCGCTGATGCCTGCTGGTATGACCTCTAATTGGCTCTCGGGCCACAGGTTTAACTCGGCACCATCTGCGTGTTATCCTAATATTTCTCATCTTTCCAGAGGAGCTTGAGGAAGGTGCAGGAGGTGCAGCAGAGGTGGAAGAGGCAGAGATGACACACCTGAGTTATATCTCTAAAGGTAACAGTTACCTCGGTTACCTCACCGTCTCCCCTCCATCCTCTCTCTAGTACTTTTCTAGCAGATTACATTTGCTAGATGCTGACCGGCGGACAGCTTCCAAAACAGCAGAAATAATTTCCCCGCTGTTCGACTCCTGCTGCTCGATGACTCACTTGGCTCAGACGTTTCCTGCTTTTACAGATCTGAATGAGAGCGCCGCAGAGGAAGCACTCGAGCAGGAAGAGATAAATGGGGATCAGATGACCCACAATCCTCCAGCAATCAGCCGGGGTGAGCCAGAAACACTCGGCGTCTCGATCACGACTGATAAATACAAACGTCCGCCTCGGGCTTAATATAAAGCAGCTCTTTTTATTTCAATGACGCGGTGTGCTTTATATGATCCCATAACTGAGCAGTGATTCATCCGGCGTCTAATTCATAAAAGATTTTCTAAATGAGGAACGTGTCCTCGTCTGTGGACAGAGGAAACTTTCTCGGGTGCAAGTTGGAGCCAGAAAAACCTTCGTTAAACTGGCTTATGTGCAGAAATATTATTAATCATAATCTCACTTTGGAGTACCACAAAAGAGAAACTTGCAACTTCATCCAGTCAAACTTTAAATGGATATTAGTGTCTCTGACTCTGTTTGTGTGCAACCAAACTAAAGTATTTATGCAAGGTGCAGTTACAATACAGATCACTAATAATCATAAAAGCATAACTGATTAAAAGTGGCCGATTTCCCCCCTCAAGGCCACCTCCTTCCACACCTGTGGGCGGCTTCCAGCCCCACAGCCCACAGGGAGCTCTGAAACCTGATTAGACACCAGCGTCTTATTTTTCACAAGTGTGTTTGTTCCAACTGGGTCCGTGATGAAGTTACCCCACAAGCAGGTTTAAAAAGAAGTTTTTAGCTGCTTTTAAAAGAGACCACTGATTTCAAGGAAAGCCTGTGAACTGATGCAAACCCTCCTCCTGTTTTAGTTCCCAGCCTCATACGCTGTACAGCCAGTAGGCCCTGATCACATGACCTCAGGGACCTGCTGGCGTACTGTACGCTGGTGATAAATGTCGAAATCAGAATCTTAAAGTGGACTCTAAAGTTACTTTTTGTTTGAAAGGTGAGTCAAAAATTAAGATTAAATGTTCCTTTTTCAGGAAATTAAGATTCCTAAAAGAAGATTCAGCAAATGTAGCAAGAAGACCCTGTTTCTGTTTTCTCTTCACAAGTGGGGGAAAATGACTGAACCCTCTATTTTAATAGCGTCTCAGCAAGATCTGCAGGTTAGAAACCTCTTGGGGTTTAAAAGAAACATAGACCTGAACCTCATCTGCAGAGCAGTGACAAGAAATGTTCTTAAAAGTGTCAAAATGTGCAGAAGAGGGAGCAGAAACAACAGGATAGAAACTGCAAAGGCACCAAAACGGAACCTTGTGGCACACCGAAGGCAAGAGAAGTGAGAGAGGACTTCAAAAATACAGACAGAGTATCTGTCACGTGATGACGTTATAATTTTATCTCTTGCAGATTCAGGTTTGCGCGTTCATGGCGAAGAGACGCCAACTGAAGCAGAATCCGAGCTGACTTCTTCACCAAGCTCCGCCACTGAAAACGCACAGGTGAATCAAACGGGAGCATCAGCGCCGCTCGGTCACATTTTACCATCGACTCCTCCCACTCCTCCTACAACTCCCAGAGAGCTGACATCAGCAGCCGTGGAAGAATCAGCCGAGACAGGTGATGAAGAAATACTTATCCTTTTATGATGTGTTGATTTTTTTATTTATCTCAAATTATAGATGATGCAAAAAGAATTAAAAGGACAGGGGTGTGGTCAAAGCAGGGGCTTAAGGTGGCACCGCCCTCACCCCCAGAGAGTTGAAGATTAGATTGTCCATATGAGAAAGTTACAATGAAGCCAAAACCAGATTGTTTCAGGAGCTTTAGTTGTTTGTCCATGACACTGCCCTCTGGTGGCGGTACACATGTACAACAGTCTGCAGAGCTCTCGTAGGCCCGGTGCACAGCCATGATGACCCTTCAAAACATGTTTATGGAGACAGGAGATTCATTCACAATGAAAAAAATCAGCACAATATGATGAATTTTTAACCAGCTGTCAAGTAGTTTGGTTTATTTATGTAGTTTTATTTTTCTGAATTCCTGTGACTGTGGATTGTTTGGGTATTTTTCTTTGTAGTTACTGGCTGGATTGAGATTGTTGTATTTTGCCCTTGTCTGAGCTTGTGTGAGACTCTGTCTTAGCAACAGAAGTCAAATAAAGCACTGAAATGAAGCTCTTTTGCCTCCTTATTAACAGGTTTAATCTTAGCCTCAACAACAACCACCACGAGTCCCTCTGAGTCATCTGAGGAGGAAGGAAATGGGAAAGAGGAGGAGGACAATGAAGAGGAGCAAGAGTCTGGTGAGCACTGTGAGTTCATACTGTATGATGGGAACTAAAGAATAAATCAGGCCTTTGTGAGTCCCAAAAGACTTCAGTTGGACTCATTGGGAAGTTTGAATATTCATGTTTCTTTTCTTCATCCTCAGTCTTTGATGTGCTCAAAACTACAACAATGACAGCAGCAGCAACACCGTCAGCCCCAAGGAAAACTCCTCACACAGGTCAGTTTGTCACAGGGGGACAGAAGTATCAGCTTTATCTATAAAGTGCCACTGCCAACAATTATCAGACTACGAGACAGACAGTCATCTATGAGCAGCATTTGGCTGCAGTGGGGAGAAAGAGCTTCCTTTTAACAGGAAGTGGTACCTGTACAGCCCTCTGTGCAGTTAGGAGGAATTCAACTGTTTAAACCAAAACTGTTTACTGTATCAAGCTGTGAACATCTTTATTTCTTATTGTGAACATGCAGACTGACTCACTGTTGGAGCCTCAAGTGGCCACTAGAGGAACTGCAGTTTTTGACATTTGCTTCATTTTTAGCTGCTTCGTTCTAAACTGCATATTTTTCTGCAGCTATTCTGCAGCTTCCCTTATGAAGTTATATAAACTGTTATATCAACATGCACGGTCTATAAAAAAATGGTACGTACAATTTTGTCATAATATTAAACTTTGACCCTCTCGCTATAAGGATGGCCAGGAAGGATATTCTGTCCTGCGTACTGCGACGTATAACAGGATGGAGTAGTACCCCCTGGTATTTGACAAACTATGACATATTTATGCTGAAAAATGAAGCCTAAGAAAAAAAAACAAAAGCTGCAGTTCCTCTAATGTCCACTTGAGGCAGGCTCCAAAATTGTGTCAGTCGCTGTAGACTGACATATACAGCAGAAATAAACATATTAACACGCTGCTGCAGAAATGGTTTTGGTCTCTATGAATGGTTTAGACCATTGCACATGTACAGGGAAGGTGAAAGTTTACAGTTTATGCTTATCAATCGAGCTAGTTAGCTTTAGCTGTTGACATTAGCAACCACCATCATATTCAATTATGGTGACTTGTTATGAAAATCTGCAGTTTTTCAGAATGCTAACAGTGAGGCCAGAGTCCAGAAATCAGTAAGCCATGTCACAGTGGCTGCTTCCATCTTTTAAATACAGTTTGTCTTTTCATGTAATAAAATGAGTCTGTGCGACTCCTTTGTGGGTTTTTAAGTTGTACAACACAGAGGAGTAAGGTGTGACTCTAATCGACGCAGGCACTTCACCGGGAGTCTTTGTCCTTCAAATAAAAGAGACGTGATTCGGATTTAGACTCTTTCCTCGCCGCTGCTTCACAAACACACCGAGAGCTGCCAAATGGTTTGATCGAGTGTCACAACCCCGCTGCTGGGTAAAAAACATGTAACCATTGAAGTGGTTATTTTCCTCTCCTCGCGTCTGCAATTACGCAGCGAGGCTTTGACAGGTGTCTGAGGGGCCTCGCTCGCTCAGAAATCACCGGGTATATTTTTAATTTCAAGAAGAAAAAGAAAAAAGACCAATTCCAGCTCTTTTCTTTAATGCCGGCGTTAATCAAGTGGATTGCATTAACGTCTCACTTCTGACAGCCTTTGTGTTGTGCGCTCTTCAGAAGGTGGAGGAGGTGTCAGCTTCACATTAACACCAGCACCACCTCCAGCTTCACAGGAGAGAGGGGAGGGAGGTGTCAGAGAGGAGACGAGCTCTCCGAGGCCCGCTGAAGGTCAGCTTGTTTTTCTTTAGCAACAAGCAGGCATTTCATTACAGAAACTTTCGGAGGGGGAAAAATCTGACCTTAATGTACAGCGAAACATTCAAGGATGTTTGCTCTTTGGCTTTCTAGCAGAGGGCTGGATGAGATGACCGATATCAGGCAGCTGCAGATAGGAAAGGGCTACGTGCTCTTCAGAGCTACCGATTTTCTCAGTTTGGCTGTTTCCACGTTTCTAGTCCTCCTATGCTGGTGAAACTTCCCCAGTTTCCAGCAATTTTTCTCAAACATCAGCCTCCTACTAACAAACATGTACGTTCTTTACAATTTCAGGAGAACTAGTGAGATGGGAAACAGCCAGTGTGGTTTAGTCGAGGTGCAATTTGTGGGGAAAAGAATCAGCGTGGAGGGTTTTCATGTTTTAGAGACATTTGTGGGCCTGTAGACTTTGAAGCCTGGTGTCTTATTACTGCTGCCACTGTAACATTTACAGAATAATTCAACTTCAACCTGACAACGTAAATGTAAAGGCACTTTTTAGGTATTTTAAAAACTACAAGAAGCGAACAGAATATAAAAAAACCCCAAACAGCAGGACTTTATCTCCAAAACGTTTGTGTCCTTCGTTAAAGAGATGTCAGCTGAAGCTGAACTAAAGCTGGGCTGTACGTTAGTGTAATACCAGTGTGAACCACAAGATGGTGCAAAGTGTCTGGTGAAGACAGAGGCAGGGATCAAAACATTAGTGCACGCACAAAAACACATCTAATCAGCTTTAAAACGCTGCCCTCTGGTGGTGAAAGGTTTACCTTCAACAGAGGATCTTTAAAATAAGCGACACTGATGATTGCATTTGCAAAAATATTTAAGTTTTGGCACAAAAGTTTGTCCTTTGCTCGTGCAGACAAACATAAACGATGTTATTTTAACATGCCAGAAGTGCTCGGTCCAACCGCAGGTGCAGTTGAACTTTAATATCAGAGACAAATATTCACAATGTAACAACACAGCAAGCTGTCAGCATACACATCAGTGTATATCACAGCGAGCAGTGCGAGCTCCCTGCAGCTTCCCAAAAAATCCTCCTTTTATTAGACTGAAAGTGAACACAGCAATTATTGAGACGGCAGCAGAGGCCAGCTGACCCCGTCACCAGCATATTCACCCACAGCCTTTAAAGCGACTCATTGAAGGAAAAAAAGCTCCTGCTCCCCCCACAGTGTACTCTTTGTTGTGCAGCTATTTTCTCCCCTGAATCTTTTTCCACAGAGTCAGAAAGTGCAAAGCTGCATCACCTACTGAGCGACAGACTTTCTGGCTTTTAATGTGTATAAAGCTGTCATCTAGTTCAATATTGTAAGGTACAGACCTGAAAATATCATGGAAACAAACCTGATAACTCAACAATGAGCAGCACTTGGTGACAAAAATAAAAAAAGTCTGTGGCAGAACGAGGCACAGATCAGATCACTGAGTACATAAAAGCTGTAATTACTAAAATTATTCACCGTTTTGTCAACTTTGCTCCAAAACAAAGTTCAAAATCAGTGTTTCCTGCATGTTTCACAACATTATGGCTTCATTAATCACGCTGCTTCGTGTTACAGGCTGAATAACCAAAAACAAAGTCAAAGCTACATTTTTACTACGATAACAAACAGACCTTCGTGCACACGTGTCAGCGCCACAGCTTGGTTGGTTTCTTATTTCAGCTGCTGTCCAGGTCCAGGCGATCTCTCTCCTCAGTAAGAGAACAAAGCATTACAGTAAGCCGGTGGGTGATGACGGGAAATAAAAAAAACATTCTGAGCATCCTCGTGGTCGCTCTGCTCACCTGACCGGCTCAGTCGAAGAATTTCATGTGAAGGCTCAGACATCAGCCTCTGCTGGAGTTTGAAGCAGGAGTCGATGTTCGCTCTCTCAGTTTATTGTAAGTGGTCAGGAGGGCTGATTAGGGAGGGACTCCTCACTCTGACCTGCTTCCCAGGCCCACAGATCACAACCAGAGTCACAACACAGGCCTCAACCAGCAGCTCGCTCCCACAAACCAAACCAGCGAGAACCACCACCCCTCCTGACGACTCATCAGAGGAAGATGCCACACCTCCTCTTCCTCCTGCTGCTGCTTTCAGTCTTCAGAGTCAAGGTGAGAAAGGCCCAGCTCGCCCCACCCCGATGGGGATGAATTAGCATTTAAGCCGACCTGTGGGTGTGAGAATTTAATGACATGTTTGCACCGTCTTTGAAATTTGCATCTGTGCCATGAAATGTCAGGATCACTTCAATCTGCAGGAGTCTGCTTGAGCCGGCTCATCAGAGATGTGTGAGGAATATTTAAATGAAGCGAGGGGAGCCACAAAGCCTCCGGGGTGATCTTCACAGCACGTTTTCTCACATTTCTTTTTGTTCTGTTGCATTTCAACACAAAAATAGTTTTTGTTTGTTTTTAGATTTACAGTTTTGAAAGTTGTGCTTTCATCCCAGAACAGCGGGCGGTCCACTGAAGAAGACTTCCAAGTTTCCCATTAAAGACGGATTCTGTGGTGGATTCAGACTGACAGCTTCCAGTTTAGCTAGAAGTGTTTAACTTTATCCATCAGGGTAACTGCCAGTCAAAGTTTAGACTTATTTATTCTAAAGTAAGCCCTCGCCTTTAACCTCTTAGGCTCATTTACTGGACTCTACATTTTCTGTTTCTTAAAAAAAAAAAAAAAAACAACCCTTTGCGTTACATTACAAACTGTGACACCATGGGTGCAGTGGGTAGCTGGATTGCTGACTTTACAGGAGGGATCTAAGGCTTGTTTGAGTAATTCAGATTCCTACCGCCACCCACTAAAGGAGATGGACTTCAGTTTGTGTGGCTTTAAACATTTATAGTTTTATTCATACAATCTGATATACGAGATCAGAAAGTGAAAAACCTCAGCTGTCTGTGTTCTGTTTACCATCTTCTCAGTGAGACCAGGGCAATGCAAGTTTCACCGTACGCCATTAAATCATTTTCCAGGGTAAAACTGATGACCTGAACTGGTGACTGGTGCCAACTTTGTCCTCCTCCCCCAAATAAAAAAACAATAGAAGGATTTTCGATTCAATTCAATGTTATTTATATAGTGCCAAATCACAACAACAGTCACCCCAAGGCAAGCACTTTGGCGACAGTGGGAAGGAAAAACTCCCTTTTAACAGGAAGAAACCTCAGACAGAACCAGGGTCAGGGAGGGGCGGGGCCATCTGCTGCAGGTGAGAGAAGGATGAGCTTTTTGACAGACTGGAGTAGCTTCAGCATTTTCAAAGAGGTACGAGTAAAAAGAACCTAACAGGAGAGCTCTAAAGACAGCCACCACAGACCAGAGGTGCACGAGGAGATGACCCTGAATGTGAGATCGACCAAATCAGGCCTGGTAGCAGAGTGGAATCATGGGAATGTGAGAGTAGCTTCCTGTACAGCAGCAGCAGTATTACATGTGCATGCAGAGGCACTGTGTGGAGCTGAAACCTGTGACTGTCCGAATGCGAGGGCAGACTTTTAATCACGTTCTCACAGTGAGGGGCCGTGCTCCTCAAAGTCTCAGTGAGTCAACCTGCACGATGGGATTCCTGCAGAAAGCTGACAGCTACCGTTCTGTCGTTTCAGGTGAAACGCTCCCAACATCTGCATCATCTTCATCAGCGGCTACAGTGAGAACCATCGCAGAGACGACACAGAGGAGACCGGCCACCTCCGTCACACCGCGGTGGGAGGTCCACACCCGAAGCACAACAGCAGCGGTTTTAAAACCTCCGCCACACTCCACCGCCGAGGCTGGATCCGAGGAAAAGACCGGAACAATGACGGTCAAACCTCCGAGTGTGGAAGGAGGAGAGGAGGACGACTCGCGGGAGAAAGACTCGGACGGTAACGTCTGACCAGACGCTGGTTAAACTTCATAAAATGCAACATTTTCCCCATCAGGAGGCCTTCTGCCTTTCTCCTGTCTGACCTCTTCGTTCTTCTCTGACTCGACAGGTTAAATGAAAATTCAGATGAAATGAATAAATTAAGCAGGTTTCTCTCAGGGGTTCAATAAAGTTAATTATGTTTCAAAGGGTTATGGAAGTTAAATTAAGTAATCTGTGACCTGTAATGACAGCCAGGCTCATAACTGACAGGAACAATAAACGTTATTTTAATAATATCGAGGTCTAAGCTGCGAAATAGGAAGAGAAAGATCCCCAAAGGAGCAAACACACGAACACACAGCAAACGTCTAAGTGCTGATGGGGTTAAGAATGAGGCTTCTTTTTAGATTACACTTGCTGAAACACTGGTTTCTTAAGCTCAGAGGTATAAAACAGGAAAAACATTGTTTTTAACTCTGTGGAAAAGACAGAATAACCGACTGCTGTGCAGAAGCTGTTCAATAAATGTAGAAGAATAGTCACAATAAAACGGAAAATTAAAACTGAAACTCCCAACTTTGAATCTAATATTTGAGATTTTAAGTACAAAAACGCAGAAATGGGCAGCGTTTTACAAGCAGGTGTGTCGTTACTCTGCTGATATTTCTTATTAGCGCTACGCTCATTTCCTTTTACCAGGACGCCATCAAAGAAGAGTGTTTGTAAATGACTGCAGGGTTAAACTAAAGACAGTATAAAACATGGACGTAGCTCCAGGTCAGAAAAATTAAGCCGAGGCAAAAGTACCTTAAACCTGCATCTATGTGGAGGCCACCAGATGGCGACGGTGTAGCTGCACGTTCCAGACTCAGTCACTCATTCTGGGTCATGTTTTTGCAAATAAATTTAGTAAATCTCGGTTGCATAAAAAAAAAAAAAAGGAGGATTAGCTGTAGTGTCAAACTGCATTTTCATTGGCACAAGTCATTAGCCAATGAGCATGCGGTTCAACTGGCAGACCCGCTGCTCCTCAACAAGATGGTGCGAATGCTTAACTTGAGTCTCAGAAACAATTGGGTGATGTTACCATAGCTACGTCCCTGTTTTATAGTGTCAGTGGGACGCGTGGACTCACTGCGCCATCTTATGGTAAAAACTGGTATTGCACAAATGTACAGCTCCGTTCTAGCTCAGCTTGAGTTGCTCACTCTTCAAACAGCAGATATTTTCATCAGATGAGTTTGGTGGAGCCGTCTCAAGCCAATTTCCTCCAGAACCTTTAGTGCCAGGTCCTGCAGCCCTGTACATGTGGCTTTAAAAAAGAAAAAAAATCACATCAGTGGATCCATGCCAGGCGATGGGAACACCTTTTTATACTGTGAAGTCTTTAATTCTTGCAGATGTCTTTAAGGCCCTCCAAACAAGATGATTAGGAGTGTAGTAGCACCTAGAGATGATTGAGTATCAATAAAGTTTAGTGATTTGTAAACTGGCAAAATTACAACAAAGTAGATGAACGATTGAGGATCCTGCTGGCTGACATGTGAGGGGATGGTAACGCATTGGGTGGAGCTTCATCCATTACGGACCAACCATTAGCTACAACGCTTTAAATGTGGAACAGTGCTCCTCACCTGATCATCAAACCGGGAGTTGCGGTTGAAATTTATTTCTGTATTTTTTCACTGCACTTAAGTTCCACAGATCCATGTAAATGTCAACCATCTTTGACTCTGTACTCGTGCAGTGCTTCTTCATCCTCTTCTGAAGCTCGCAGCCACTGCTTGGAGGTCACGCTTTTTTAAATGTACTGTTTCTCTGTTGGCAGACTGGTTCGCTCCTCAGAGGAGGGCGGTGCCGTTCTTCGCCTGGTCCCTGCTGGAGTCTGTTGGGCTGACTGACATAGACCTGCAGCCAGACACCAAAGGTAACCACGGATAGCTGCACTTCCAAAGTGAGTGGAGCTCTTCACTGATGGCTGAGCTGAGATCTTTGCGTCCTCCCAGCAGAATGCAGTCGCTCCTTCAGCGTGTACGCCAGCGACGGTCAGTCCAGGCGGGAGATGCCGGCGCTGGGGGAGATGCTCCACTGCCTGACGGGACGCTGCCCACACGAGTACGAGATGTACGGCTGCTACTGTGGACAGGAGGGCGGCGGTCAGCCTCTGGATCAGCTGGACAGGTGAGCTGTGTCGAGGAATAAGGATCGGGACTGTCCATGAAGACGCCCACAGCTGCGTCAGGGTTACCTGATTCTCCTTAACAGTGCGATAGTTATCAGCGCACAAATACATCTGCTGCTTTTCACATCCTTCATACTTTCATGGTGTTATGGTCCAAAGTTTAAGTGTGTGAGTGCTGCAGAGACCCTGATGACTGACTCCTGCTGGTCTCCATCAGGTGCTGCTTCTTCCATCATTGCTGCCTGAAGCAGATCAGCTCGATGGGCTGCAGGCCGGAGAGGAAGCTCAACGCTCAGATCTCCTGTGAGAACGCAAAACCACGATGTGAGTACGACAAATCCCTCGAAACCCAAGTCTGCTGCACTGCTGACATCAGATCAGTTTCACACCTGATTCTCATATTAATGTAAATATTTAACCTGCAGCTGCCACAGAGGAAGAAAAAACACGGTTCACCTTCTAAATCTAGTGAGAAACGATTTCCACTGTAGGGAGGTTCTCTGGTCTTCCTGCAGATTCATGTTACTGAAAAGCTCGTGTTTTTGTTTATGAAACGTTATACTGAGCTTCTGTTGGTGTATCCAACATTTAGCTATAATTAATTTCTTTGCTATCAGATAAGACGGGTATTACCAAATCCCTGGAGAGCCATGAGTTATTTTCCCCTCCAGTATAAATTAGAGCTGATGGGACCTGATGATGTGTGTAGTCAGCTCGGCTTCCTGTCTGGCATCTTGAGCGTTGTTACCAGACGTGAAGGGAGGAGCGAGGTGGTAGCTCTCCTTGCTTCCAGGGTAATGGTCAGCTGTCATAAGGCTGCTGTGCTTTCAGGTACAGCAGCCTTACGACAGCCTGGATTTGCAGTATGATGTTGTTGTTTTTTAAAAAAGCTCATCATCATATTTGACTTCCTAGACCTCTAAAGCGCTTGTTGGCCTCTCCATCTGATCCCTCCTCACTCTGCTCAGGTCAGGGGGTCACTGTGTGCGACAAACTACAGTGTGTATGTGACAAAACCACAGCAGAGTGCATGGCGGCCGCACACTTTAACCACAGCCTGCCGGCGCCGCAGTGCCACGGGTCGACGCCCCCCTGCCGCCGAGCCAGCAGACCCCCCAAACCTCTGAGGGTCTCCCCCCAGTCCAGCGAGGAGTCGGACATGGAGGTCGGGGACGCCAGCAGTGAGGAGGACACGGCTGCGAACACACCTCCACCTCTGCAACCTCCTCACAGGTGAGCTTTTTATTTACAGCAGGAAAAGCAGGTAAACGTGTGCGAAAGTGATGATTCAAACAATTACGAAGATGACAAATGAACAACATTTGGAATAAAGAGTTATTGAATATTTCCATGTAATCGAATGGAGCTTCAACAAACACCGACACAAAGTTCGTCCCGTCAGTGCTGTGCTGATGATCAGATCCTTTGATCTTTCAGCTGCTACTTTGTTTCCACTTTTACAGACGCTAACGTCAGAAAGCCACAAAATGAAGATCTCACTGTTTTTCTTAATAAAGAAAATCATATAGATAATTTTTTTTTTTTTTTTTCATGCAGTAAGGTCCTAATTTTATATTCTAATATCACAACACAAACAACATGAAATTAAAAACAAATCTCTCTCCGCAGCCATGACAGCTCCCACCTGAAGGACGCTGAGAAGTCGACTCCTTCTGCTGGATCACCCGGAGACCTGACACATCCTCCTCCTCTCTCTCCCCCTCCTTCTCCTGCTGCCTCCAGTGAGGAGAGCGGGGAGCGACCGACACTCAGTGGGGTTCAAACCCAGAACCCGAGGCCGAGTGCAGGGCAGGGCCAGGGGCAGCAACCGGGAGACAGAGAGGAGGAGGAGGAACAAGAGGGTGGAGAGGAGGAGGAGAAAGATGGAAAAGAAGAAGAGGAAGAGGAGGAAACGGAGAAAGAGGAGGAAGAAAAATAGAAGCTAAAGAATTCCTTCTCTGTGACAGTCGTGATGTGAAGTCATTTTGGGGCCTTGCTGTGTCACAAGCTGGACTCAACGTTTTCTGACATCTTTGATTCAAAAAAGAAGAAAATCAGTTTATTTACTTTGATTTTTTTTTAAACACATGAAATGAATCTGTTGAATAAATGACGGCAAACACGCCTCTCTGGGATCTTCCTCTGATTGGTTCAGAGAGCCGACAGTAATAAAGACACAACAACTCAACAGCTTTGATAGAAACACTTTAATCTCAATGCACATTTTTCTATTTCAATAGAGGCTTTGTAATGAAGCGCTGAGGCTCTGCTGCTGCCGAGCTTCACAGAAATAATGTGCACTGAACGCTTTATGATTTTGTTCAGTCGATGAATCAAAATGGAAAATAAAACATGAAACTACTTCCAGCTTCTTACGTTTCCTGCTTTTCTCTGTTCCACGTGATTGGGAACTGAGATTCGGATGTTTCAGGAAGTCCCTTTGAATTTCTAAGACCAAGTTAATCAAACGTGACAAGATAATCTAAACTCACATACTTCCTGACTCACTGGAGCTTTGTGCAAACAGCAAATCCAGGTTTGGGAAAAGTGCAGTTCCTCTTATGTCCACTTGAGGCTCCAGAAGCAGCTGAGGTCACGTAGCTGTAGTTTTGTCATTGAGATGAAAAGTTGAAAGAAATGCACCAAAACAACAATGAAGGTGAATGCGTGAAGCAGCAGCAGGAGCCTCAGCGCCATCTAGTGGTTAAAACCATCAGTGTGATTGAAACAAAGCCGAACTATAGCAAGTTTGTCACTGTGAACACGGACGCGACGCCTTTAATCTCTAAAACTGGCACAAAAATACATCAGAAACATAAAAAAAAGAACATCGGAAGCTTTTTTTTTTTTTGTTCTTGACATTTTACAGCTGGAAAAAAAATCCATCTTGAAAGGTGGAGAGTTCGTCACGTGAATATTCTGCTCTGACTCTTCTTTTGTCTTAGTTTTAGGACTCAGATCACCAATCAGGAGGGAAACTTTTCACAGCTCCACAGAGATCATTTCATCAAAAATACTTCTAAGATCTGTTTGTACCAAACACACATCGGTGCCGATTTATTTCTGCTATAGTACCAGGTACACAGTGATCAAAGTGCAAACACAACATCATATTTTACCGTAACGGTTATTAACTGTTCAGCATTTTTACTTTAAAGTTCATTAATACATCAGCTGGTACTATTTGAATGATTGCTTGAGCTGAATCGGTTGAACATTTATCAAAAGTAGCAGAGCGGCTCGTTCGCAGACCGACTGCTCCGACATCATTTACAGACTTCACATCAGCCGGTCTTAAACGTTTCGGCTCAGAAACACAGACTCGGATCCAGATTCACAAAACCCGTCTGAAGGTGAGCTCCTCCCACAAACACGATCGTTTAGTTATGTCCTGTAACGTCTTCATGGAGGTTTAGACGGCTTTACTGATATCGCTACCGATGAACGTGTATACGAAAAAACAAACTTCCAATCAGATCCGTGAGCGTTTAATTCCAGTGAACATCGGATTTGACTGAGATACGAGTTTTAAAGTAATCTGTGGAAATGCTGGTGCCGTTGAATCAAAATTAAAAGTCGGAATTAATGTCAAGCGCTTGGCTACGATCCCTTGTAGCCGTTATTTCCTGTCAATAAGTTTAGCATTAATTCAGACACGACGCCGAGCTCCTGAACTGGTCCACTGAACCAGCCTACAGGCTGAAGCAGCATCTGCAAGCCGCTTTGCAACCCCCACCCATCTTTTCGTGCTTCTTCTGACTAAATCTGGGAAAAGCAGAGGACTTTTTTCCCAGTATAATTCTTGTAGGACATTCATCCGACCTCTGGCAAATTGAAGGTGGAATTGGGACAACCGGGCATCTTGATTAACAGAAAAACCAACGTTTGAGGCTTATGCAGATTACAGGAGTTTTCCAGGAGAAGAACACCAAGAGATGGTCTTCAAACGTAGGAGGAACTTTTAAGCATAGTCAGGAACGAGGTCACATATGGGAATACAGTTTTCCGACTATTGTGGACCCAATTTTAAATGATTTTAGTGAATCTGGAGCCGATTCTTCAACCGGGACCATCTGAGTTTCAGGTCTGAAGGTTGAGCCTGAGCCGCCACTTAGAGAAAAATAAATCTGGATCTTAACATTAGCAGATTGCACTGATTTACTCCTTTATCCAAAAATAACCAACATCTGGCTCTACATATAATATTCATTCATTTTTCATTATTTTTGAAATGGTATAATAGAATCTACAGTTGAAAAAATAAAAACGAGACCATCTCCCCCACACTGCAACATCCCGCTGAAACCTGAACCATCGAGGTAAACAACAAAAAACTACACTAGTATAAAGAATTCAGCATTTTGTCCTCGTCTTAGAAGAAATCTCCCAACCTCTAAAATCTCTGCTAGGCAACAATGTAATGATACGTGATGCATAAAATGTACAAAAATATATGATATATATGTATATATATGCTGCTGCAACACATTCATGAGAGGAAGATATCATGTATTCCAGCCACATCTAAACCCGACTTTTCTCTAAAGCCCAACTTCAGGATCCGGCTGTTAAAGAGCTCGTTTAGATTTTGTTTCAGCATTTGATCCCAGTCCCGTCCCTCGGAGGGTCAACGACGATGACTGAAGTTAAAGAGCCATGCAGTTAGTTCGTATAATGCATGTTTTTAAAAGCTATGATTCTACGATGTTAAAGCACGAGAGTTTAAAGCTAAGACATTATGTTGCGTAGATTTGCACAGAAAAAAACAAAACAAAAACAAAAAAACCGGCAGGGGCTTTTTTTTTTTTTCGGGTTGTTTTGTTGTTTTCCGTTAAAAGTTCTTTTTTACCTTCGTTTTCCCCAGTACAATGATTAGACATGTAATACTTATAGAACAGAAGATTTCACCTCCAAACAGCCACTGGATTATATCCGGTTAGGGTTTGGTTAAAGACCTTAAGACCTTTCAATTTCTCAAAAATGTGCCTTTTTGGCATTTGGCTACAACAAAACCCTGACCGGGTCGCTGGTGCCCGATGGATGTTAAGAGGTCAAACCCACCCTGTTGCTGGTTATCGATACATAAGCGGCAATCAGAGAAGATGAACGGTCAGCAACCGTGAAGGTAAAGGAAAGGAAAGTGGGACTGCTTTGATGTGCAAGGTAAGGGTCACGTTTATCACCTTGATGCTGGTCGTGAACTTTTAAAAGCCTGTAATAAGTTTGTACCCAGACACACAATCCAACCATCAGTGCATCGCTTTGTTGCCCATGGTGACAGCTGGTTACTTGTGGCTATCAGGTTCCCTAGGCAACCACCTGGGTAACATTGTTTGACATCATGTGCCAATCAGCTTCTTTTCTCCACCTCCACTGGCAGTCGAAATTCTATAATAAGTTGCTCTAACTTTTAAAGTTAGTCTGTTTGGCACACCCGAATGTTAAAGTGGACACTACCCCAGACCTGGGTCGCTGACCATGTTTAAAAAAAAACAAGAAGGTACCCAAGCACACCTGAGAAGCTTTAAAATTCCATCTGCAGAAGAAGAACTGATGGGAAATCAATTGAAATCTTAAATTCTTGTTTTTGTTGTAGCTTTGCTGGCTCCACAGAGGAAGTGGAGTATAGAGTAATTCACCATAACAACGGGATCACAACGCAACGTTCTGCAATATTCAATACAAAAAAATTACAATATAAGCAAAGAAGAAAAAGAATCCCTAAAAATTTGGCATCAGTATTTATGTCGACTTTCCGTGAGCAGCCAACGTTTCATCTCTGAATTTCTTCTGCTTCATGTCCTGCAGCTTTCGTGACCCTGGCCTTGCACATTAAAGCATCCACGTCCAAACAGCTGCACGGGCTCAACTGTACAGATGTGACGCTGCGATGTGATCGGGACAGTCGCACCACTTGTCACGTATCCAGATCAAACATTCACAAACTGCTTGGCCTCGACCCGATGCTGAAAAACACACATTTACTAACAAAGTTTCTCAGATTTGTGAGGCTCGTGTTGGTGATGCCAAACACAGACTTCCAGCTTAGCCAGCATCTCTCATTCAGAAACACAACCAGCGCTCGAGAAACTCATTTCTCCTTCGCTGACGAGCCGAACACACCAATCAGCTCTGAGTGAAAGGAAGCGCCGACCTTCAGCCTCCAACAGCTGCTCGCACCAAACAGAGGCAGCAGGTATCTTCCTCCAACTGGAGGGATTTTCTTCCCACGCTGAGCTCAGATCAGAGGAAAACACTGATAACCATCTGCTATTACAGATCACAGCTGCAGCTGCACCACATACGAATCCTCCCGTTCCCAGAGCGCCTCCTGTAACCTGTTTTGGAAATAAATCACGGCCCTGTGATAACTGTTGAAAATGCAAGGATGATTAAATCCTCCAAAATGTCAGTGCTTTGTATCGCCGGGGCTGAGGATGGATATTAATATTAATGCGTCCAGCGGGGAGGTTAACTTTGATGCTGCCGGTCGCTTCGTTTTGGAATGAAAAGCTCCACCATATGGCTCCTCACGGGATACGAACAACAGCCTTTTTAGATTGAGACGTTTTAAACTCAAACTTCTGTGTTTGGCAATGAAACAGCTTTGGTTTTTGTTTTTTTAGGCTACCAACAAAGCTGTGAGGCGGCTGATTCGTTCATGGAAAGCAGGCGTGCGCAGGGACTACAGCGCAAAGTCAAGGAGCTGGATCAGATTCATCTGCAGCCAACACGCTGCCTGCAGCTCCCCCTCATATCAGGAAATATTACAAACAAAGAGCGCGCAGCTTTAATTTTACTTACACACAGGCCTGTAACTGTGATCATAACTGCACTGCTTCATACTTGAGGAATAAACTTCAACTCTTTAAAAGATGCTACATTTGTATTTTTTTGTGATATTTTCACTGCAATCTCTGAGAATATTAACCCCAAATTTTTAATAGAGGAAGTTTAGAGTCCTTTCTAAAATCATCAGCCCCGCCACAAGAACTTTACACAAACTTTACAACAACTTCTCTAAGGACCATCGTCAAAGCCACAGACTGTATATTAAAGATGGATGTAGCTTCCATATCTGAAAGGTTTGAACTCTTTGACAATAAGACCCAACGGCCTTCTTGCGTTTAGACGTCAGTAAACACTGAGCTCAGATTGTAGTTTCATTTTATAAATCACGTCCTCATTACTGTAACATTAAGCTGCCAATATGGAAGCACCAAAGACTGCAGTTCCTTTCACGGCCACCTGAGGGCGACTCCAGCAGTGAGACAGTCCTCAGACTCTCGTGTTGAAGCTTTCAGCAGAAATAAACATGACTACATCCTAAAAAAAATGTTTTTTTGATAATTCATCTGGATACAGGAGGCATGGTTGCTCTGATCATGTGACTACATTATGACATCATCGAAAACCTCAACACTGAGGCTCCAAATGTGGAGCTCAAAACCAGACGCTGATGTCTCGGTGGCTCTATCCATCTTTTTTATACAGTCTCTATTGATTTTGTCCACCTGTGGCTACTGTACTAGTAGTACTAGTGGAGTATACAGTCTTAGTTCCACCATTTGGTAATCCAATGTCAAAGCTCCCCACTAAATTGACACCACACTGACTATGTCCATCTTTTATAGAGTCTCAGGTGGGAGCTGATGGACATGAACACTCCTCTTGACCTTCCTCTTACAGACTCACGCCTCTCAGAAACAATCACGTCATCACCAAACACGAGCGAGCCCATTTCTACTCGTCCAAACGTCGACTCTTCAGCTTTAGAGTGTCGCTGCCAAGCAGTTCGAGTATTGCTGTCATTGAATTGACTTATAAGAACTCAGCTGGTTGTTGGAGTCATTTGTGACACACTTTTATCTTAAACAGCAAAGACTGAAGATTAGAGGGAAGAGCTGAGGAGCAGCGAGCCTGAAACTAAACTGCTTTCTACCACCACCTATGTAATTTCAGTTTTCATAGCTGACGGCTAATATATATATATATATGTATATTGCACATTCCTACTAATCAGTGACGGCACCGACGGCTACTGACAGGAGACAGATAGTTGTTAGGAGGCAGGAGCTGCGTTTGTGAGCCTCACGCTGCTTTTTTAAGAGAGCGTATGTACAAGGAGTGAAGCTTTGGCTGGACTGGAACAGAGAAGCAACGTCTGATTCAGCAGAAATACACTAAAACCTCAGAGTGGAAGCAGTTTATGGGTTTTGTTGTTGTTTTTTTGTTCTTGGTGACTCAAAAGTTCAGTTTGGCTTCAGGGACGCGAGTCAGGAAACAAAGTGTAACCAATCAGAGCAGCGTGGATTAACGCAGGTTTGAGTCAAGACGGGAAACAGGATTTAAACTTCGTCCCTGACGGCATCCCGGCCACCTGAACAGAGGAGACTGGAGTGCAGATGTGAGTGTGTTGTTCTTTCTGTGCATTTTCAATGTTGCGTGTGAGCTGGTTTGTGGATGTGTGCGTTCAGTAGACACACAGGTCTGGAAACTTCATCTCGTAGACGGGGACGGACTGATGCTGGGTGTGTCCCGCTGAGATGGAAACCACTCCGGACGGGCTGGGAGGAGGCCTGGTGACGGGGCGTGAAACAAGATATTAAATTAGAAGGAAAAACTGGTTTTGTTTGGCAGACGTGCACAAATGTAACCTTTAGGAAGCAAAAACCACCTAATTAACCTGATTATTAGGCTGTTGTCCCTTTCAAAGTGTCTCCGTGTGCACCTGTGCACTGCCTCCAGCGCTCTGACAGTCCTGCCCACACGTACGTGCACGTCTCAGCTAACGCACACAGCCGGGTCTAATCACGCTCACAGTGCTGTGACTCAGGAGAACTACACAGCAGGTAATGACTGAAGGAGCATTTCATTTCCTCTAAAAAATCCTTTCAAAAGGCGGCCAGGGAACGACCCGCAACTCAAAGAAAACTCAAACTGTTCCAGAACACCGTGTTAGCGATGCAAGCATGACTATGAGGAAAAGTGCACGTTATTTGCAGGCGTCGTACTCGTTCACGTGCTGCAAACAGACTGTTATTGTGTTCACATGACGATGCAATCAAAAAAGAAGTGAGAACATGTCAGACGAACACAGCTAAGCCTAAAAACACTGGGTCGTGTTTTATCATGAGCCACATTCGCTCCAGATATCTCGACACACCTGAAGCCTGGTGCAGATCGGGTGAACCTGCGGCTGGGCTCAGGCAGCCACACTCACCTGGAGCCACATCTGGGCCAAAAATAACCAAACATCTGTTTGTTGAGGAGAACACTGTGGTGACGGCGGGTGATTGAGGCTTCAGGGCGTCACAGCCACGGTGGTGAAATCACAGACGCAGCTTTAGCAGTGAGGACAGAACGTGACGGGACGCTGGCAGCAGAGCCGAGGGGACGAGCTCGACGGGAGATCAGCCAGAGATCAGTCGGGTGTTCTGGGATTGTTTGACTTTTAGTGTCACGCCTAAGCTTTTCTAATGTGGTGTAAATGTCACCACACCAAGAACTTTTATCTAAATTCATATATTTAAATGAGAAAACTTGTTGCATAACGGACTCACCTGATTGTGAGTTCAAAGATTTGTGCGAGCCGGTCGTGCAGCATGTTTGCCTGGAAGAAGTGAGCAGGAGTTTATTTGGGTGTTTTTTCTGATGCGCTGACAGTTTATTATTTTCTGATTTCTGGCTCTTTGTTGTTTTGTTTTTTAATAACCTTGGATTCGCAGTGGGCGGCGATCTCCTCGAACGGCGCTTTCTGGAACTTCTCCATCACCTGGCGCCTCTTCGCCCTCTCCTGCTCCTCCAAACCGGTGGTGTCTGAAAACAAACCGCAAACACAGAGCTGCTTTAATAACAGAGACTTAACTATGCGGTGGTTTGTGAGCGCTCTTTCTTCTCCGCGAGACGAGCTTCTCGTCCTTTTACGTTGCTGTTTAAAAAACATTTTTTAATGGTGAAAATTTCACTGAAACGTCATAAAATCAGAGCTTTTGAAAACTTATTTTGAGGCTAAATCTGCAAACTTTAAGTGGTTTCATCAGATTTGCTGCTTTTTTCTGCTGGTCACTGAAATTAAAAGTTCATTTAGATCATTTTTATCAATAACTAAACACATTAGAGCCCAGAGGTGTTGGTGAAGATGGCTGCCCGGTGGACAAAGTAACCCAGAGTCAACATGAGGAACAGCAGGAAGTCACCGCGTTCTTACCGATGGCCTTCTTCAGGGTCTCAAACGTGATCTCCTCAGCCAGCTGCGACTGTGGACACAAAAACACAAACGTGACCTCATGTTTCCCTCCAGGACCACACGCTGCTTTAAAGAAGATTACTCAGACCTTTTCTGGAAGGCTGTTGGAAATGATGTCCACTTGGAGGGAGACGGTGTCCACGAAACTCGGCCTCCTGGACAGACGTTCTTCACCTTCAGGATGACAGATTCACACCACATAATGCTTTAAAAAGCCACAAACATTTCTAACTTTAGTGTCACGTAAAAGTAAAAGTTGTTTCTTTCCAGCAGAACGATTTCAGAATAATCAAACTGTGCTTACTGAAGCTGTCATATTACTGAAACCCAGGTAGCTCCTGTAATCTGCGCGTCCTTGACAACAGCGGCGACATCTCTGCTCCCGCACACCAAACTCCATCTGTTTTCTCCACTTCAATACAACGAGGAACAAATCCGCCTGATCCCGCGGGGATAAACTCGTCCCCGGGGGACGAACGCACCTCGAGCACTTGTGTATTCATCGCCAGCAGAGGGGAAAATAAGGACCACAGAAGGGCAGCTACTGTCTGAGCTGTGAGGTCATCTGATGAGGTCAGAAAGGTAGCGGATCAGCCGAGGCGTGAAAAGCGACAGAAAGCAGCTCTTTACAATCGCACGACGACCTCTGCTGTGAACTTTGCAGAGGCCTGACTCAGCAGCCGTCCTGCGGGCGTTAATGAGGAAAACGATCTGATCGCGGCTGATCCGCTGGAGCTTTAAGATTTTGTTCACACGGTGATGAAACACACAGAACTGAGCCGACGTGACAGGAAGCCACGGTCTCCAAAAACTTTGACCACCTGAGCCTGAATGCAGCCCGGTCCTGCCGGACTTCAAGAGATCAGATTCCCTCTTAAAGGCCTCATGCACTGATTTAAGGTCCCACTCACCACATTTACAGTCTGAATGAATTTAATCTTACTGAAGCGCAGCCGGAATTAAAGAGATGCTGTGATTCATGATCGAGGATCAACCTGCAAACTTGTGCAGCATCCGTCCCTCATTCTCTTCCATCCATCTGGTCCAGATCCTCCCCCAAGGTGTTCCCAAGCCAGCCAAGAGGCACAGTCTCTCAGGAGTCCTGTCCTGGGTCTGGCCTCGGGGCCTCCTCTCAGTTAGACATGCCTGAAACACCTCACCTGGGAGGCGTCCCAGTCACATGCTTGAACCGCCTCCCTTCAATGTGGAGGCCAAGACCCCTCTGAATGATCGACCTCCATCTCTAAGACAAAGCCCATCCACCCACAGCTTCACCCTCAGCTGCAAACTGCTCCACCTGGCGATCCTGAGGCCACCAAACGGAGCTGGAAACCTTGCACAGCTTGGACGAAGCTGGTTCTGGTCCATAAAACCAGGACCAGAACCGTGTGAAAGGCTGCCTGGTGGAGTCCAACAGGTCTGCACCGGTTTGTCCTTATTAGGAGTTTGAACCCACCCACTCTCCTCTCTGAGCTCTTACTGCTTCATGATGATTAACTTCTTCATGTCATTAATAACATGATGAGTTTGTTTTCTGTTAACACTGCAAACAGAAGCTCCACACATGTAAACAATCTAAGCGCACTACGGGTAAACTGCTCTACACAGACGTGGCAGCACGTGTACTCACCGCAACAGGTCCACGAGCAATGCAGGCAAAACATTTCACAGAGTTACCAAATCACATGGTGAGAAAATCTACAGCTACACAACATCGAGCTCTGAAACAACGAAGCACCTCAACGACGCATCTACAGCTGCTCAGCAGTTTAAAGGTCAGGGCGAGTTTCTCTGCAGGCGTCAAAATGCTGTCATGAATTCAAGGTTTGGTCTCTGCTCAGTGTGAAAAACACTTAAACTGTTCACACCACGGGTCTCAAACTCGCGGCCCGGGGGCCACACGGGCACACGTGTTTGTTTGGTAGTTCAATGAAAGGCTTCAGTTAAGAGTGAGACATTTTAAAAAACAAACAACACTACATTTTTGGAAATATTTGTGGGTGTTTTCTTGTTTGTTGTTTTTTGCACTGCATGAACAGTAAAGTGGTCACATGAGATGACAGTGCCAGCGGCGGCCCACAGCTCATTTGAGTTTGAGACCCTGATATTTGTTCTTCTACACTTTCAGCTGAGACGACAGCAGCAGCAGAGCGAGCAGAGCGAGAGCTCCTGCAGACTCTGATGCTTCACCGTCACAGCTCAAAACCCCGGGTCCTTTCATACTCGCAGTATTTAAAAATGTAAGGGTGTGCTATTATTATTATTATTATTATTATTATTAACTCAAAAAAAAAAGATCCTGTGGAAAAACTGTGAACTTCAGGGAAAATTTTAATGATAAAAAAAGAAGAAGAAATATTCTGAGATTTTACAAATTAGGGAAAAAACTAAAAAAAAATATCTTTGAAATTAAAAAAAAAAAGCTGACAAAAAATCTTCTAAAATAATTAAACAAATTAAAATAAATAAATAAAACAGTCTGAGACTAAAGAAAACTAAAGATCATGAAGAAAATCTCTGAAATCCTTTTCAAATTTAAATTTAACCCCCAACTTGTAAAGATATTTCTTTTTCTTGTATGTTTTTTAAACACAAGTTCGAGGCTTCACTTTGTATGTTGGGTAAACTCGTCAGTGCGCAGACGCCGCTCGGCGCTGTGACATCACGTCAGCGCCAGGTGCTGATCCGCGGCTCCTCGCGCCATGAAAGGACAGTCTGTGCGAGCTGATCCCTCCCTCTCCTCCTGGGGGGCTACGCTGCTTTTATACCGATGCTGTTGTCACTTGTGCTTCTGGGGTTGATAAGTAAATTGCGCCTTAATGAAATTGTCACCGTGCGGATCTAAAGCCACCTCACCCCGTCTGACCTCTTGCCCAGAGCTGCGTTAGCAAGCTTACTGTTGCCAACGCAGCATTTTGCTGCTTTGCTTCGGCCTGTTTTCGAGCCGTTTTAGCGACACAGTAGAAATGTGTCCACACTGCTCCTCTCCACAGCAGCAGCCTCGCTCTCCTTCTCTGCCGAGTCCACCGGGTGAGTCAGCAGTGCAGAAGAAGCTAACAGGAGGAGACCTGCGAGAGTTTTCACTGGATCTAACTGTTGTACTAACAAAGTGGTCCAATCCTGAGATTTTGAGAAGTGTGCGTGAATGACGTGGATCTCGGGGTCCACAGCGAGTGTGGAGACCTGCTTACACTGACAGCTCAACTCGGAGACTTCAAGGTCAGAAAGAAGCCGTCAAACACTGAAAGCGGTGTGCAATCAAAAACTGGGGTTTGCATTGATTACACTGAACTTTTTTGATTGCTGATTGCAAGTAATTTTGGTGTTTGGAGACAGCAACAGTTCTTGTGAAAGAGCCTTTTCAGTTATAGACTGATGGCAGACTTTGTCTTACTGTAGTTTTATCGTCGTCTTCATGCACCACCGAGTGCTCGCAGACCTGGTCCCCATGGTCGGAGTCGCCATTTCAAAGGCAACGAGACCAATAAGATCAAAGAAGACAGGAAACGTGGGACAACCATAGAAGACGAACTTCTGAGAATCGGACCGATTCAAAGGAAGAACTTCATTGTTGCGCCTCCTCGTCTGAAGCGTGACGAGTTTCCATTCACCCAACTTTGCAAAGTGAAGCCTTTGGTTTTGCACAAATAATGTGTCAGCTGATCTAAACCCAGCTACACCAGGTGACAACACATCTCTACACGCCTGCACAGGGTTGCCTTGGTTACCTCTGGACGTCTGCTTGCACCTGTGGAGGATTTTTCCTACTGTGTAAAGAACTGAAGGGACATGAAAGCATGACAGAGGGAAGAAAACAAAAGCTTGTTAGACAATTATCAGTTTTCTCCTCCCGCTCGTTCTATCTACACGAGGTGAAAGGAAGAGCACGTGAAGTACGAACTATTCCCGAGTCTTTTTTGGACGTGAGCAGACTTCAAGGTTGAAGTCAAGCAACATTTTGAAGAAGTGCTTTTAAAGAAAGTTGTGCGTGTGAACGCCTGCAGAGGTTCACGTTGTTCTGAGCTGAAACAAACCTTTAAATTACGGAGACGGCGACAGCCGTCGGACTAATAAAGCTGATCGCACACAGAGTTGGTGAAACTTTATTTTCTCTTCACTGAACAACTCCTTAAGCTCTTAATCCGACAAAGCTTCAAACAGTTCTGAGGGCACGGTGAGTATGAAAAGCAGGGAAATAAAACATACAGCACACAGCGCAGGAGCAGACAGCGGGCGCCTTAAATCCTTTAATCTGACTTTTTACAACCTTTTCAACTCTTGACTTTCCTTCTAACTTGTTACTTGTATCACTTTTATCATATTTCCTCTTTAAGAGATAACAGCATAATGTGACCATCGTCTAATTCGGTGGATTTTTACAGCTACACTTTTCCATCAAAAGGAAATATTTTAGATGCTCCGAGAATCAGTTCAGGCACATTTTCTCAGAAAGCATCTCTGGTATCTGAGAAACCATGAAATAGGACAAAAGGCTGCTCAACAGGTATGAGATTAAAAAGGTATGAATCAACCAATGAGGGAAGAAAAAAAAAAGTTATCAGAGCAGCAGTTTTCTTAGATAAGAAGAAATAGAAACATGAAGTTCCCCGTCCTAACGGAGGCTGGACTGTCGTACCTGTGACCTGAGGAACGTAGGGGATGGAGAGGCGCTCGGCGTTGTACCCCGGCCCGGCCAAACACTCGGCCATGTCGGCCGTCTGGAAGTACAGCTGGCTGTCCTCTTTGTCCAAAGATTCAGGAAGCCTGGAAGAAAAAACGCAAGACACAAAAATAAACTTCCTGAGGAAAAACCTCAGAAGAAAGCGTGTTTTTAGTCAACGCACAGCACGGCTTTACTTCTCAGAGCGACGCTGCAAAAAGGTCACATTTGTTCTCATCTGTAATTCAACTCTGTACCAGTTCATATCGGGGTCCCTGCACACGCATCTCACAGCTGGCTGCACAGAGACAAACTCGGTTTGTCCCAGTCGGAGCACAAATCGCTTAAATGAAAAGCAGCTGGTAGCGTCGAGGTGACTGCTGTTGTGATTTGGTGCTGTATAAATAAAACTGAACTGAAGCGAGTAGCTGTTTGTCAGTCTTACATCTGTCGATGCAAAGACATGCTGCTGTTGTTCTAATAATATTTTTTTATGAGTTATTGATCCCAGAAGTTGAATATGTGAATTTATCTGCAACCTTGAAAAGTGAAGCAGCACGGTTCCTTCACTCCTGAGTTTGTTTCTCGTAAACTTTCAAACTTTTTAAGCTTCAGCTGCCACACTCATTGCTGCTCTGTTTATTAGAAAATAATGAGGCTTCACAGCCTTTTTCTAACCTGAGCCATTGGATTATTTCTCATGAAACAAATTCAGGCTGTAATCTGCACTTACGGACACTTGTCTCTGAAGATGTGCTCTGGGAGGAGGTAAGGAGCATCCATGTTCCTCAACTCAATAACCTGCACAGAGAACAGCTGATTATATGATGTTACACTATTTACAAATAAGAAAGATGTAAACAAGAAGAAACAGCTAACAGGCAGAAAACAGCGGTGCATCATCAGCATACTGAATAAATCATATTTTTGTATTTTCTGCAACAAATGGCAGTAAAAACAAAAAGTGGGAATGAGAGCCAGCTGCTCTGATCCTCAGTAAGGTCAGGGAGGAGTCACCTTGCTGACGTGCTGGCAGAAGGGCGGGTTGGCAATCATCTGACTCAGGAAGTTGAGGTACGCGGCCACCAACGCCATGATGCCGCAGCGGATAAACATGGGCAGGTTCTCTTCGTTGGTAAGAGCCATTTCCTGCACAAACCAGTTGCAAAAACTGTGTTAGCGAGGACAAACCAGCAGCTCGGCTTCTGTTTCTGGTCGTGGAAGCATCAGAACTCCCCGCATACACTCGGTACACCCTCACAGGAGTTGAGGTTTACTTCCCCTTTAATCTGTGTGCAGGGTTGTAGCATGCAGCAGCGTTTCTCTAAGGTCACACGAACACGTACCTTCGTCAGTAAAAAGGTTGTTGTCAAGGTAACGACCCTGAGGTGACACAGCAAACAAGGCAGACTAAATGCACTGTGCCACATGTCTGTGACGCACTGAGTGCGACTTTGTTTTAGCTTCAACCAAATCTACCAAAGAATATTACAGTAATAATGCCAATAAAAAGCAAAATACTATCTAAGTGGAGAAGCTGGAAACAAATATCTGGCTTCACTCGAGCTAAGAGGACCAGCGCAGATGTGTGGTTGCTTTGGTTCAGTATACACATAAACTATTTTACATCAGATTCTCTGAAAATTGACACAAGACCGGGTTAAGTGCTCGATCTTGAAACTCAAGATGTGACGATCAGACTTCACTGAAGCCGCAGTCGTTGGCTTGAAACCATAAACTCAAAGTGTTTACAGAGGTCAGGCTGGAGGAACGTTTTACCATCGATGTCTAGAAGACTGGAGTCTATTTCCAACCACCAGTATCGCCCCCCAGTGGCCTTTAAATTAAACGCAAACATTTTAGCACTAAAATTGTCTGGCGAGTGATTGCAGGAGCTGGTCATGAGTGTAGAATGGTTACAGACTGGTATAGGATGCTGCACTGGAAACCTTGGGACTGGTTTGGTTACTAGCAGATTGCAGTGGTGGCCAGTAAATTGCATGAAAAATGCCGACTTGTCTGTAAACACTCGCCAACTTTTCTCAAGGCGACTGTGAAACAGACACGTGACAGAAACCCGACTGAAGGGTCCCCATGAATTTGTGCTATGAAGCACTTCCTGTCTGAAACTGCATGAGAAAGAAACCAAACAAAGAGCAGACATTCCTTTCAGTCTTTTTTTAATACTTCTATGTCTCAAACGTTCCCTGAATTAAACGAAGGTAAACACAGCACTCAGAGTGTGTGTGCGTGCACAAACATCATGTCTACAGTGCTGTGACATTTGGAAACGATAAGATCTCAGCGTGATGCACAAACAAGCTGAAGCTGCGTGTGTGTGTGCATGTGCGTGTCTTTTATGTGTGTTGGTGCGAGCGTGCACATTTCCTTCGCACCTCTCTTGCACTTCCAGGAGCTTTTATTGGAGCTGCGTGGGTTCTCACGGTCTAATGACATAAAGGCAAATGACAGCACAGCTACTCATCAGCCACTTAAATATGACACCTGACACCAAAAATATAGCATAATCACATCGAGGGTGCTTTAGACTGAAGCACCATAATGTGGAGCGTGAAGAGCTGGTTAAACACGAGGTTAAACACAAACCCTCCAAACAGGGATGTAACTGAGGATGTTTACTCCACACCTCGGCACTGACAGCACCACAGCTTCAACAGACCACTTGATCTCCTCGCCGATAAAACTTTTCCACTATCACCTGATACCGGTGACCTGGAAACACTGCACACTCATGACTCGTCTAATTTTACGGTATTCAAGTTATAATAAGCTACGTTTTTACATTATATCTGAGTGAATGTTTGGGGACTGTGTCACTCTGTTACTGCCTTCTACGAACACACACCATCACTGCAGGCATCTTAACTCATTTCAGTGGTCACCAGAACATAAAGCACATGTCATCAGTCAGATCTGATCTTAAAAACTCTGACCACCATCTCTGCTGTCACATGGTTCTTTGGGTGTCTGTGGTGATGCAGAGACGGTAAAAATAAATGAAAAGTGTTAAACAAACATTATTTAGATTAAAATTCCCACCTGACACGCTTTGACACATCCTTATGACAAATCAGATGTTCAGATGCACTTTTTTAAAACTTATTTTAGCCTCAGCTCGTTGGCTGCAAGCCGCTTTGCAACCTCTGTCCTGTTCTGATCTCTGCACAGAGACACAGACGTCCTGAATATAAAGTGCTACAGATGGAAAAAACCTTCTGACTATATGTAATCTCTGATCTGAGAAATATCACAGATCTTCACATCTGTGTGGAGAGAGGTGAGATACAGCCACAGTCATGGAAGCTGTTAATGAGGAATCGAGCTCAGTGAGGCTGCGACACGAGATCAGAACAAATCAGAAACAGAAGAAAATCGCTCACCTTTCTCCTGAGTGTGTTGAAATCGAGAGTTTACAGATGGGTGCAGACTATTTTTAGATTTCAGATACTTAACTCTGGAATTATGGATGTAAAGTTTAATTGAAACTGTAAATGTGACAGAAAGAGCCAGAAAATCTACTTATGATGAGATTATTCTGACTGAGCTTCCAAACACAACCAAACAGATGAAACTGCTTTTTGTCTTCGCTTTGACTAAAAACACAAACTTCAGATGTGAATTCATCGGTTTTACCTGCAGCGCGATGGCGAGTCGAATGAGGTCGATGACCACTTCCTCATTGGCCAGCTCGATGGTCAGAATGGCGAGGGTGGTGAAGAGCAGCTCAAAGTTTTTGTGGACGTTATCTTCCTCTTTGCAGCCCAGATAGATGTGACGGTAGAGCTGCTGGCCGTGCTTCAGGGACGACGCAGAACCAGAAGCAAAGAGAGAAACAAAGAGGACGACAGAAATATGGGAACTGTTTAAAAAAAGTACCTTTAACATGTTTAACATAAGGAAACAGCGGAGGTGTCGGGGACTATTTTCAGTGGCGGATTAAACGATATGTGGGGAGTTTTAGTGGCAGTGTGGGGTAAATGTGGGTTCACTTTAATGATGGTCCATGTTCTGCAGTGCAGACTCACTGATGTGGATGACAACAGAGTCACATGACTCAGGCTGCGTCACCCACACAGTCAGCAGGAGACGCTGACTCTGGACCATCAGGTAATAACAGACGGCGAGCTGAGGACGGCGGGGGGATAGTAACTATATTACAGGAGTTTGAGATTAATTCTGCTGTTATTGCTTACCTTCAAATTTATTTTCTTTAAAGTAAAAAATATCAACATTTCCTCTTTTCCAGCTGTAAAGATTCATTTTTATCTTCTGCGATATTAACCTGACATTTTTTATCAGATGGATGCAGACATTTACAGACGGTGCCTTGGGCTCTAAATATGCATGACGGCGATTTTTAAGCACATTTTTTGACATTTTAATAAGCAGAACTTAATGGCTCTCTCAGTAAAAAAAACAACCAGCGGATTAAAGTCTTAATTAATCGCCCTGTTCTGAACATCTATCACAGCAGCTCCACTGCGGATGAATCAAAAAGTTATTGTCCCTGAAAACACAAATGAAATGATTAATCCCATTAAAATCTGGATAAAAATATCCCACCGCTGCTGGAGTGGCATTTATGAAACACATAAAAGCAGAGCCCGGCTGCCTGCATTCGTTATAAGCTCGACAGCTGAAGACAAAAACTTTTATTTACAGCTAATTAATTACAGTTAGACACGTTAATGACCTTAGACACCGGCCTACAGAGGAGGTCGTTCCCCCGACCTCTGGCTCAGGTGTGATTCGCAGGTGAAAGAGTGAAATCGCAGGGCTTCATTTTGGAAATGCTGCGTGCCGATGATGACCGAGGCTTCCCGCCCAGGTCAATGAGCTCCAAAGACCTCGCTTGTAAAAACACCTGCATTCGGATCATCTCCAGCTCCAATGTTTTCACTACGGCTCAGCTGGAGCAGCTTTCCAAGATTCCCGGTTCAAAATAATCTGTCTGAAATAACCTGCTTTAGCTCCTCCCCCTACCTTCTGATTGGCATTGCAAATATTTGGCCAGCAGACGAATGAGGCAGCTGCGCCCCTGTATTATTCTTATTCACAGAATGACCACCAGTATATCAGGTGACTCGTCAAACATGTAGCAGACACATCGCTCCACACGGTGCTGTCGGCTTTTCTTGTTTGACATTGTTAACATGTACAAAAGAAAAACAACGATTTTTTTTTCATGTTTATAATTTGCAAATTTGGTTCTTTTCATAAACTTCTATAAAAACCTGCCTTCTTTTTAAAAACCGGACTCTCTGCCCCCTGCTGGCCACAAGAAAGAATGCAGATTTAAGCCAGTTGTATAATCACAGGCTGTATCTATACAGTGATCACATTATCGCCTTGCAAAGATATTCGGACCCAGCGTTGGGGCCGCTGTGGCTCAGGAGGAGGTCATCTACCAACTGGAAGGTTGGTGGTTAAATCCCCGGCATGCTGAAGTATCCTCGGGCAAGACACTGAATCCCAAACTTCCTCTCATGGATGCACTGGA